CAACCTGGCATATGCCCATTCATCTCTTTTTCACTATCAGGTACATCAGTCATGCTGTGTAAACGTCATCCGCATTTGATGGCAGCTTTCCCATTTCTGTAAACAAAAAGTAACTACTACTTAAGGAGTATTTCTACCTCTCCTCCCCCACTTCCCATCTTGGTAACCACTAATGAAGATTAGTTTTTTTATATGTACCTATTCATGTCATTTCATAAAAGTGAGAACATTCTGTCTTAGTTATGTAGTGCTACTATTATAGAAATACCATAAGTGGATGGTTTTAACAAACAGATTTATTGTCTCACAATTTAGGAGGCTGTAAGTCTGAATTTAGAGCATCAGCTCTATGAGAAGGCTTTCTCTCTACTTGTCTCCTGGTCCTAGGAGGTTCTCAGTGCAGGAATCTGAGTGTAAAGGATGCACTCCACTCCGGGCTCCTCTTCCTTGGTGGTAGTAAATCCCTCCCTCTCTGCTCACTTCTCTGTCCTTTCATCTCCTGTAAGAAAAGGTGATGCAGGCCACACACACCCAGAGAGGCTCCCTTAAATTGGATTAGGGCTGTGACCTGATGAAGAGTGTTGCATTCTACCCCAATCCCCTTACATTGGATCAGGGCTGATGACATAAGATCACATGATAGAGGATGATTATATCATTTCATAATTGTCACATTACATCCAAACCACTGAGAATTATGGTCCAGACAAATTCACACACATTTTTTGAGGATACAATCCATGACAATTCAGTATTTCTTTTTTTGTGTGTGATTGAACTTATTTCACTCAAAATAATGTCTTCCAGGTTCATTCATGTTGTAAGATGTTTTTGGGAACTCATTTTTCTTTATTGATGAGTAGTATTCCATTGTGTGTATGTATCACATTTTACTTATCCATTCATCCATTGATGGGCACTTAGTTGTCAACCACCAGGAATCCTTTATTGTAAATAGTGCTGCAGTGAACATATATGTTTGTTCATGTCACTTCTGTTAGATTCCTAGGGTATATATTAGCAGTGGAATTGCTTGGTAATATGTAGTTCTGCTTCTAGTTTTTTGAGGACCTGGCAAACTTTTCCACAGTGGCTGTACTATTTTACATTCCCAATTTTACCATATACTATCCAACATTTTTTATTTTCTTTTTTCAAATCTTAGCCATCCTACTGAGTATAGTGGCATCTCACTGTGCTTTTGATTTGCATTTCTCTGATGGCTAATGATGTTGAGCATCTTTTCATGTCTTTGTTAGCTATTTGAATACCCTCTTTGGTGAAGTATCTTTTCATGTCTGTTACCACTTTTTTGATTGTGTTGTTTTTGTTCCTAAGTTGTAGAAGTTTTACATATATTTTAAATATTATGCCCTTATCAGTTATATTATTACCAAAGATTTTTTCCCCTTTATGTAGGTTGTCTCTTACTCTTTTGATGAACATAAGTATTTAACTTTATGAGGTCCTAGATTTCTATTTTGTTTTCTGTTGCTTGTGTATTTGTTGTTATGTTTGATAATCTATCATTGAAAAAAGATAGGCCCCAAAGAACTTCATGGTTTTAGATTTAACATTTTGATCTTTGGTCCATTTTTAATTAAGTTTTGTGTATGGCATGAGGTATGGATCTTGTTTTCTGCATGTAGAAATCCAGTTTTGCCAGCACCATTTGTTGAAGAGGCTGTTTTTTCCCCCATTGAATGGCTTTGACTCCCTTGTTGAAAATCAGATGACTGTAGATGTTTGGATTTATTTCTGGGTTTTCATTGATCTATGTGTCTATCATTACACCAGTGCCAAGCTGTTTTGATTATTATAGCTATGTAGTATGATTTGGAGTCAGGAAGTGTGAGGCATCCTACTTTGTTGTTCTTCAAAATTGCTTTGGCTATTTGGGATCTCTTGTCTTTACATATAAAATGGAGAATTAGTTTTTCCATTTCTGTAAAGAATGCTGTGATAATTGGAGCTGTGTGTCAACTTGGCTGGACCACGTTATGTGTGGTTTAAGCAGTTGTGATGTGGTTATTCCCATGATGGGATCAGATGAATATGTTTTGAGCAGCCAATCCATTGAAAGGGAGTTTCCCTAGGGGTGTGGCCTGCTTCCAGTATATTTATGGACATCCTGGGAAAAGAGACACTCTTCTGTGGATCGGGATTCTATTGTGGTGCCTACAATTGTCTGTGAGTGAGCAATCCACCATTCAGCCTGGAAATCTTGTCATTCGTTGGAGTCACCAATATACTGCCTGCCAACCTTGAGCTCCTCAGCCCCTGCAGCTGCGAGAGTCAGGAAAAGCCTCCAGCTTGACGTTTGATCCAAGAACTTTGGACTTGCCAGCTTCTTTAAGTGTGTATATAAGTAAGTATTTTCCTAAGATAAAATTTCTCTTTCTCTCTATATATAAGCTTTACTGGTTTTGTTTCTCTAGAGAACCCAGTCTAACATAAATGCTGTTGGAATTTTTATCTAGATTGTGTTGTTTTATAGATCACTCTGGGTGATATTGACAGCTTGACTATATTAAGTCTTCCATTCTGTAAGCACAGAACATTTTTCCATCTATTTAGGTCTTCTTTAGTCTCTTTTAGTGTTATTTTTGTGGTTGTTAGGTGCCGTTGAGTTGCCTC